ATAAATACTATATAAAAACTAGTTACATAAATAGTTATTAAATAATCTCTTTTCATAAACACTACTTATATAAATAGTTACTAAATAATCTATTTTTATAAATACTACTAGTTACATAACTAATAATAACTAAAATAATAAAAACATTTTATAACATAGAGCTGCATTTTGAACATGACCAATCTGCAAATTTGTTTTCCAAAACATAATCAGGGATACGTTCACAAGCGCGATAATACCAATTTTCGCATATTCCGCATTGCACCATATGTCTAAATATAATCCCCAGTTAGACAAAAAGAAATTACGTAAACAAAATACAATGCAATGAGTTATATTTACCTATCTTTAATACAACTATCCGAAGCTAACCAGACTTGTCTACAAATGCAGTACAAGGAAAAATTGAATTCTTTTTCTTTGCAGAATCGTATAGCTGTTTCGGACTTTGGAAACTCAGTAAACTGATTGCCTTTCACACATTTTAGCAAATGATTTCTCATTTGAAAAGCGTCAAAAGCAACATAACTTGGATTTGATCTAGTATCGGTAATATGTTTTATAAAGGCTAATGCGTACAAACCACAATCAACATAATTTGTTTGTTGTTGCACCGGTGTAGTATGAGATTTTTACTCCCATTATTTTTTTACTCCCCTATAAAAATTTGATATGAAATTTGTGCCGCGGAGTAAAAAATGCGTATGAAATTTTTACTCCCTTTATGAGATTTTTACTCTCATTAGATATTTTTACCGTTATGTTAATATAGTGCTTAATTAATATATTTTATAAAATTAATGCTTTTAATAAACTTTTTTAACTTAATTTATTTTTTACATTTTAGTGGGAGTAAAATTTCTTATATTATTTTAAATAAACGGTGAAAATATAAATTTTACAGATAATCTTTTTTAAACTTAAAGATCATAGAATATGCAAGTACTTGTTTGATCAAAATGTGTATTTGTTTTATTAAAAAATGAAGGGGAATATCCAAAATTGTTTTATTTTACTACTAGGCTATGGTACTTGTTGCAAACTTGCAACTATAGGCTATATATAATATAATTATACTATAGGCTATGGTACTTGTTGCAAACTTGTTAGAAAAGGAGTTTTCTAAACAACAAGTTTACCTTGCTAACCTGCAGAATCTGAAAATCGCAGCTTTTCATTTCTTTCAAACTTTTTTTATTTAACAATTCACATCTGCAAAAAAAAAAAAATTATCGTAGGTTACCCTATGTATCAGATAGGGTTAAGATTTTTTTTTTAATTAAACACATATTGTTATATAGGTTTATTTCTGGATTCTTTGCTTTCGCTTTACTAATGTGGAATCAGTCAGGCATATGAAAAAGTATTGCCACCAAATTTAAAAAGACAAACATTTTTATTCCTTCTCCTACATACCGTTGTAAATTCGCTTATTTTTACGTTTTTAAAACATTTGTTTACAGACTTAAATAAAAATATATTTAAAAAATGTCTAAAAATTATGAAAAGAAGATAATTTATAAATTATTTTTTTTTTTGATAATATTTTACAACAGTACAACATTAAAGTGACTTGCAGTTGAATTGTCAAGGAATATAGCATGTTCACTAAGTTGTGTAAGTGTTAAACTACATGGGTAAGTCAGCCATTTCAACTTCTCTCCATATTTGCTATATACTTTTATATCAATACCCATAAACGAGGCACACCCAATTATTTCTGCATCAGTTGCCCAAGTTGTGTTATCACTCATACCACTTTCATTTAGATACGTTATTATTGATTGATTCATATATAAAGTCATTTCATTAATAATATGAGTACACATATGTTTAACAACTTTTTCTCTTATAATTTCAAAACTGCATTCACTGCCTGTAATGATATACGATATTGCCCTAAAAAAGCAATTACCATCGCCTATGGTTTTGTGAATTTGTTTCGGACGCAAAAGTAGATTAATATCTGCAATAAAAATATTTTTGGTAATACCAATTCCAAATTTTCCAGAAATAGAAGTTCTCATTTTAATAGTTGCATATTTTCCGATCTTATCATTAGAAATTTGCATATTAATTTCATCAAATGTGATTTCTTGTTCATCATTAGTTATTTTTTCATTATATAAACATAACTTTGTCAAGTTGTACTTTGTTTTCAAAATTTGACCCTTTAGATTTTTCAAAGTGCAGTTATTTGTGCTAGAAATAGAAGTTACAATGTATGGTCCAGTCCAAGGCTTTACAAGTTTACCACCTTTTCTATCATCACGTCTGCTATTTCTTAGTAACACTTTTTTATTTATGCTAATTTCATTATTTGGTGCAATTCTCTTGTCGTAATCATGTTTTTGTCTTTTTTGAGATTTTTCAATATTTTTATAAGCATCGTCAAAAATTTTATTCTTCATTTTATTCATTGCATGAAAGGTATCTGAAACTATTTTTTTGTTAGAGAAATCATCATTGCTAAGAGCGTTACTATCATTAAAGTTAAATTAAATTGCAATCTATATCAATAGGAAGAACTGCTTCCCTTTGGTAAAGCAATGCAAACGGTGGAAACCCAGTAGATTTGTGCTTTCTAACTCTTAAAGAAAACAAAACACTATCAATACTGTATGGCCATTCCAAAACAGCCTCATCAAGAACTTTTACTAATATACGTTTAATTGTTTGATTTTGTCTCTCTACTAATCCATTAGCTTGAGGATGATATGCACTTGTAATTCTTTGAATTGTTCCTGTTTTTGAGTAAAGTTCTTTAGAAATTTCATTTACAAACTCACGACCTTGGTCATTTATTTGAATTTCAAAACAGCCATGTCGACAAATCTGTTTATACAAAAAAAAAGCCACAGCTTTAGCAGTTTTATTGGTAAGTGCTTCTGCTTCAACCCATTTACTGAAGTAGTCGATTAATACAACCAGATATTTGCAATCGTTAACTTCTGGTAGCTGTGTTAAATCGATTCCTACCTGCTTCATATTGCCTTTAGGAATTGAAATATTTTGCAGCAATGGTTTCGACTGAAGTTTTCTGTTCTTTGACTTTTGGCATTGGTCACATTTGGAAACATAAGTTGTAATATCTTTTATCATTCCATACCAGAAAAATCTACTTTGAATGTGATAGGTTGTGTTATTAATACCTGTATGACCAGATAAAGCTTTAGACTTAACAGAGACATCGTTTCCTTCATGAACAAACTTTATTATGTTTTGTTGTTCATCTCTACTCCAAATAACTTTTCTCTATTAAAAAAAGAAGCTGTAAACCATCAATATAATGAGAATCAAAACTAAATTAATTTTCATTATTTATTAAATAAATTATTTGTAAATATTCGTGTTTATTTGGTGACTAGATTCTAGTTGCAAAATGGCAAAACTATTAAAACATTTTGAAATAATAGCATACCTTTGCAGCTTTATTTAAATGATATAACTCATTATTATCAACTATAAATGGCTTAGTTTGTCTTCTAAAATTGGCTTTATCGCCTTTATTTAAAACTTCTTTTGGGTATATTTGGTATTTTAAGTAACTAAAAATGTCTGCAAATCTAGAGTGCATGTTTTATTGATATGCAATTCCGCTAATAACAACTTGAGAGTAAAAATAAAATAGTGAGAGTAAAAATCTCATATGCTTTTTTTTACTCCGCGGTAAAAACTTCATACGATATTTTTACTGGGTAATAAAAAACACGGGAGTAAAAATCTCATACTACACCGGTACAACGCGGACAGTTAATTTATCGTCATTGCAATGAATAATAGCACAAATTTGCCTAACCACATGGTTTTTTACTTTTCCACGAAAAAAACTGTCTAAAAGAAAAACCTCACCAACAGAACATCCAAAATTACTTATAGCCAACCAGTGGGCATCGCCATCATGCAACACCTGGACAAAAGATGCTTTTTGTACACGGAACGATAGATTTTGTCCAAGAACTGGGTCTTGGAGACCGCCTACACCTGTGATCATCTTTTGCGTGGTGTGGATTACAATGTCAGATAACATTTGGTTTGTTAAAATATCGTTCAAATCATTGGAAGAGAGATTACAGTTAGGTGATAAATGGTTTAGTCTTTTTATCTCGAATCCATCATTTTCATTAATAGTAACTGACTCATCATCAATAATTATACTATTGCCATCAATATGTTCAATAATTTCGACCTCAATCGGCTCGGTTTTGTGTTTTTTTTCCTCTAGAAATATTTTCGAAGATGCAATAACCATATCTTTGTGATTACCTACGCGATCAGTAGGAAGCTTCATTGGTTTACGAACAGGAATTGGAATGTTCCTTTTTAAATGACAAGGCAACTTGATATCCAATGGAGAAAGCGGAATTCCTGATTCTTTAGTTCTATTTTTTTCAAGTTTTTTAATGAGAGAAGCAAGAGTGCTATAAACAAGAACAATTTCTTCTGAATTTTCCTCAAATTCATATGTTAGGTTTTGAATTGTTGTAAGCATTTCCCTAACATTTACTCCAGAGCAAACACTTGTAATTTTTTTAGATTTTTCATTCCAATCATTAATGACATCTAGTTCTTTTTTAGGTAGAATTGAACTTTCCGGCCTACTAAATGGTGGTTTTTCGTGTGATGCTTCGTAATCATCAGCATTAAGTTTAAGATCAGTTTAAGAATAGTGAACTTAGATATAATGATGACAAAGCACTCCATGACCAAGCAGGGTACTTTCTAAATACTAAAAAAAAATGTTTGCATGGATATGCAGTTGATATCCAATTTAAACAAGTACATTTTGGCATTGTAATCTCATCACCAAATGATACAAAATATTTAGTAGCTGGTTTGGTAGAACTTAATACAGCAAAAACTCCATGTTTAATCATGATTACTCCGGACAAATCAAGATTCTCAACGTTACTTTTTTTTATTAGGCAATGTTTAACAAAGCTATGAGGACGGTTTAACAAAGCTATTAGGCAATGTTTAACAAAGCTATGAGGTTGTAAAGATAACTTGGCACACAACGTGCATACCTTCTGTAACGTGCATCCATTTTAAAGCTGGAATCAGTATAGCTAAATGAAATAATATTCATAGTAACAAAGTTTCTTTAATAAAGTTAAATTAGGAAAAACCCAATATTGTGTAAATGAATGTAAGTGATTTAGTATGTAGTACCATAGACACGATATGTTTAAAATGCAAAATGTAATGATAAGGAAAAAATTTTTTATATTAGTTACGTGAACAATCTATACAATGAATTATTATTAAATATATAGGGTAAAAACCTGCTGTTAACATACTTATACCTAAGTTTTCTGAACTTGTTTTTTTTTAACCAGAGAAAGTGTTTGTTGTTTTTATTTAGGTGTTTATTACTTTTTAAAATTGGTACAAACGTAACAAAACTTTAAAAAAATGATACCTGTCAAGTTTATCAATGAAGAAGTCATCAATAAGCAAAGTTAACATTCCAGTCAATGATGAGTTTTTATGTCGCTGTAAATAAGTATATTTAAAAGACTCATTCTGCCTTTCCACACCATTGTTTGTATTGCAATTGATAAGAAGACAATCCTGCCTGTACCACCAAACCCACCTCTAATTTAAAAAAAGCTGTTTTTTTATTTTGTTTTGTTCAGTTAAATATAAAAAAACTAAATAACTTTTTATTGAATCTCCCTGTATTTCAAAAATTTTATATTTTACATACTTATTTAATTGGGAGCCAATACTTTTCTATATATTGTTTAAACTTAGTAAAGCTTTCTTGACTCCAGAATTCAGACTGTTCCAATATTCTTTGAGCATTTTCTTCCTCGTCAATTGACTTTGACCAAGCGAGTCGTCTTAAAATACATAAAATATCATCTTTTCTGTTAGAGCAACCACTTGATAGCTTTTATAGCCAACGGTCCCAAGACTGTTCTCTGTGAAAGTCACATATAAATACCTTACATCCTAAAAAATATATTAAAAATCAGTTGATTCATTGGATGTTTGTATAGTTAAATTAACTTCATGTAAAATAAATAAATACGCACCAATAAAAATAGTTTCGAGAGCACGTATCTCAGCATTACAATAATCAGTCATGCAATAAAGAGGTTGCAAATCTTCATTCCAAGACTTTAAGATAACAAGTGCTTCAGATATCGATTCAAAAGTTTCACTTTCGCTTACAAAGGTTGCTACAGTTTGATAATCCACTTTTGTTTTGACAACCCAAAAAAACAAAGGTAAAGAATATCGTGTCGTTTTGTATGTTGCATCTAAAAACAACATCTCATTCCCATATTTTTTTAGCAGTTTTTTTTGCCAAAATGCTTGGTATACAAACAAGAGCTCAGCACTGTTACCCCGTTCTTAAGGTCGAAAATAGATATTGGCAGATGAGTCAGCTTCTTTCCATTCTTTTATTTTGATTTCTAAGCAGTCTTGGTCGATGATCGAGTATCTAAAACGTTAAATTTTATTGTCTGCTTTATAAAATGAAATATTAAATTATAAAAATTAGTAACATAGATTTGTTGTTGTTTTTAGTTATATGATTGAGTGAATAATTGATTGAATTGGTTGATTAAAAAGATTGATTAAATTAATGAATGACTGAAGTTATCTTTAATATTTAATAAACAAAAAAGTCCACATGCCCCAATTTAGGATTTAATGTCGTCACCGTTGTGTGTAGGTACTTTATGAATATACAAAAACTATTGGTTATAGTCAAAATAAGACTATTTAAACGCAGTTAAGAAAACTCTAGCATTAATACCTTGCCAAGAGGGTGATTTTTGTGATCATTTAAGCAGTGTATCTCAACAATAATTTTTCGACTAATTACCACATCCTTTTTTTGTAGCAACGAATATTTTATTTCTTTTGACTGTTGCTTCTTACGATAATTACTGGAATTAATAAGCTGAAAAAAATATTTAAATAAGAAAATTAAACAAAGATTATTTCAAATGTAATAGATCGACAGTAAACAGTTAAGAACTTAATAAATTATTGTGAGTGCGTAATAATTTATAAAATGATTTCCTATTTAATAGAACATTGTAATGTCAGTAGATTTGTTACCTTGAAGTCAGTGAAATATACCACTTCTTTCATAATGGCTTTTGCAGGACAATTAAACTTTTTAGTATCTTGTATGATAACATAATCAGTTATGTATAAATGATCCACTTTCTTTAAAAAAAAAATATAGCCAAAGTGAACATAAATTTATTTGACAACGATGCGAATTGTAAAAATAGGAGAATCTTTACCTGATTTTCTTTTGCGTCATTATGCTTCCTTTTTGCAGCAGCGTTCCGATCGAAACCATGGTGACAATTGTATCTTTTTGTAGATAATATAATATAAGGAGTAGCATAGTCTTCAGATGTTTCCCATAATACTTTATGTTGGGTTCCATGTATTAAGCAAGTATTAAACTTGTATTCATAAACCATGTATTCCATGTATTAAACTAAGCAAGGAAATTAGGATATCATGTTTTGTGTATGATTTCAAATCATGTGATTGTGCAGAATTATTATGCACACACATTAGAACAACGATGTAGTTAAGGTGATTTAGTAACTATTGATACATTATATTTCTAATTCGCACCATTTATTTTTTTTTTGTGTGAGTCGGCACCTCTTATTATATTTTAACAATCATTGTTCTCTTTTTTTAACATTGTTTATTGATATTTTACTAAAATTGGATCGTTTACATTTCCAAATTGAATCCAGTAGGTCTCCTGTAAAAAGAAAAAAAAAAAAAAAGAAAAGGCTATTATTAGGCTATTAAATTCTACATCCAACTGAAAATGTTTAACATATAATTTCGTTTATAGTTTTTTTTCTGAAGCACATGCTGATATTCTGACAACTCAATATGCAAATTAATCAGAAATTAAAGAAAAACAAAAGCAAATAAAAAATGTACAATAGGTTAAACATAAATGATTATAATTAAAAGTTTATATTATTTACAGTGATCATCTATAAGACGTGGGTGCATCTCCTGTGTATATACCAGATTTAATAATAAGTTGAGGAATGAAAAATGCGTTTTCAAGAATATAAAAATCAAGGTTGTTAGTTAATGATTAATAAAAACTGATGAAAATTACACCAATGTGTTGTTCCCATGAATCGACGTAATGCAATTTTTTTAAATATAAATACGACATTCTAGAAGAATGGAAGCAACTTCTTACAACCAGATGTCAAACCAATAACTTGTTTTGCCAATCAGAGCAGAGTAATTGTCATAGTACAATTAAGAACATTAGCATTTAAGATTTTTTGAGATAATTCTTACCTTAACTCAGATTAAATTTTTTTATGTGTGGTTTTATTACTACTTACTTTGTTTGTGGTGATGTTTGTTTTAATGTTCCAATCCAATGTCAATTAATGGTTAAAAAAGTAAATTCCAGTCATGTAAATTTACTAAATTAAATCCATTTATCAACAGTATTTTTGCTGAAATAAAAAAAGAAAAGAAAAATAACATGGAAAAAAAAGAATTTTAAAAATCACCATAACTACACCGAGTTTACAAAACTTTTAATATTTATAAAAGTAAATATTGTCACTTTTCCAGATAATGTAAGCTTGAGTTAAAAATATATATTATACCTGAACTTCCGAAGCTCTTTGGAGTGGAAAGAGCAGCAAACCTAACAGAATTACTGATTTCATAACTATGAAGAAATCGAGTAGCTTTCTCAACTGAATCGCAAATGCAAGGCTTGGTGTTGTCTAAAACTTTGAACTCATTGAGATATTATATTATATTAATAATCATATCAAAGAATAATAAAAAAAAAAACCTTTCAAAGTTGTAGTGTCTTCTTCTACTTTATATGTATCAGTAATGTCTTCATAATCGGACAAATCTGAACCAGAGCTAAAAAAAAATATTATTATCTAGAATAATGCATAATAGCTTTTGCTATTTTACTTATTTTACAGTGATTTTGATTAATAATTAAAATTCATCAATAAACTTTGTGATGAGGAGAGCAAATAAGTAAAACTAATCATTTAAATGATGTTCAGTTTTAGAAGCTGATAAGAATACACGTGGCAGAGCTAAAGTAAAAGGCTGCAAATTCAAATCATTGTGTTACTAGTATACCGAATTCCAGGCTCTGTAAAACCAAAATCTAAACCCCATGTTGCAAATATAAAGCATGGCTAATAACATACTTTTGAAAGTTGAAAATGAAATATAACTAGCAACATATATATAAAAAGATTATTTATTTTTTTATTAGTTACTAATGGCATCATTAGTTATGCAATAAGGTCATTAAGACATAACAAACTACGTAGATGTTAGTCCATGACTAAACCCATTTTTTAATACACAACTTGTTGAATCATGCTATAAAAAATTCTGGAAAATGACTGAGATAGTATTGATATTAAATGAGATCCAGTGGTCAATTACCTGTTCTAAGAAAAAATGTTATCTGATTTGAGTTAAGAAAATTGTGCTTTACCAAACCAAAAAGGTTGCCATTTCTTCTTTTATTTTTCACTGATTCAAAGAATATCTTATAGAATAGACCTATGAAACTCATACATTATCTTGTATACTTCTTTAGGTCAAATCTGTGTCATTGTTCTTCAAGTGTCCATAAACCTTATTTAAGTATTGTCTGTATATGGAAGATGTTTTGCAACTATTATCAATTTGCTAATCCCATGATGTACTTTTTAGATTATCTTTTTAATAATCTTCGACATAAAAAGATGCGAAATATTCCATATGTGGATTTACTTATAAATTATCAAGTTTCAACACATTATTAGAGTGCTCGTTATATTTAACTCTGATATATTTAAAACATTTAACAAACATCAAAGTTAGATACACAAGCTCTAGGAGGGTGCATTATTAACCAACTTAAGTTAAAGTTGCATTTATTTGAAAAAAATTTGTCCAACATGTTTAAGTCTTAAAAGATAATGAACATATCATAACATACTATAATTGGGGCATGGTTGTGACAATGTCATGGGCCATGGTTACAACAAGATCTATGTTCAGGGCCAAAACTAGTGAAAAAACTAAAATAGCCCTTGTTCTTGGTACCAAGAACGAAGCCACATATTTCAAACTTTAAATTAAAAATGTAAATAGCTCTAAAAATGTAAATAGCTCTAAAAAATGTCCTGTACCTTGTAATAGATAAAAAGAAAAACCGTTCATAATTATTAAAAAAAACAAACCTTTTTATAGAATTATTTACCTTATTGACATTATTCTATTTACACAAAAATGTTAACTAAATCAAAGACAATGAAGAATTGAATGTTATGAAAACAAGGCACCGTGATATTGACAAAACAACAATTGTAAAATCACAACAAGATTAACAGTTTCAAAACAGATATAACAGTGGCAACTAGAACAATACTGAAGTTCACTTTTGTTCCTTCACCGCTGTAAGAGTAACATGTGCTCTCGAAGCTTTTTTTAGCATATTTTATTTAATTTTGCATATGTAATTTCCGCATAATTACGTATAATTTTCAAGTGGACTTTGATCGCCTTTTGAGTGATACTTTCGTTCGATAACCGTATTTCTTATGATTTATGACTACGATAAAGGTTATTTTGGCAATGGACGATGATATGAACGAGATTATTTTGTTGGCAAAAGATGTTCCTGGAGCATTTTTAGAAAAAGATGTTTCCGATTGTAACGTTGATGAGTTAAAACGATGGCTTGCGTGTCATGGACAGAAAAAAGGAGGGAAAAAGTCTGAATAATAGAAAGAGTTTCTTCGTGTATGAAAATGGGAATTCCAGTTGACAGCAAAGTAAATGGTGGTAAATGGTATGATGCAAAACTATGTAGTATTTCACCATCAACAGTTAGCAATTTATCTTTACCTAAAATTGGTTGGCACATGTTTCCTTTCCATTCTATTCCATCTATGTTCAACTATGGTAATGTTTATTATTACATGGTTGAATCAATTTCAAGATTATACCAAAATAAAATCGCTACTCAATATGACTTAGAAGTTGAATTAAATGAATTACATGAAGTTAATTTAACTATACAAACATCCAATGAATCAACTGATTTTTAATATATTTTTTAGGATGTAAGGTATTTATATGTGACTTTCACAGAGAACAGTCTTGGGACCGTTGGCTATAAAAGCTATCAAGTGGTTGCTCTAACAGAAAAGATGATATTTTATGTATTTTAAGACGACTCGCTTGGTCAAAGTCAATTGACGAGGAAGAAAATGCTCAAAGAATATTGGAACAGTCTGAATTCTGGAGTCAAGAAAGCTTTACTAAGTTTAAACAATATATAGAAAAGTATTGGCTCCCAATTAAATAAGTATGTAAAATATAAAATTTTTGAAATACAGGGAGATTCAATAAAAAGTTATTTAGTTTTTTTATATTTAACTGAACAAAACAAAATAAAAAAACAGCTTTTTTTAAATTAGAGGTGGGTTTGGTGGTACAGGCAGGATTGTCTTCTTATCAATTGCAATACAAACAATGGTGTGGAAAGGCAGAATGAGTCTTTTAAATATACTTATTTACAGCGACATAAAAACTCATCATTGACTGGAATGTTAACTTTGCTTATTGATGACTTCTTCATTGATAAACTTGACAGGTATCATTTTTTTAAAGTTTCGTTACGTTTGTACCAATTTTAAAAAGTAATAAACACCTAAATAAAAACAACAAACACTTTCTCTGGTTAAAAAAAAACAAGTTCAGAAAACTTAGGTATAAGTATGTTAACAGCAGGTTTTTACCCTATATATTTAATAATAATTCATTGTATAGATTGTTCACGTAACTAATATAAAAAATTTTTTCCTTATCATTACATTTTGCATTTTAAACATATCGTGTCTATGGTACTACATACTAAATCACTTACATTCATTTACACAATATTGGGTTTTTCCTAATTTAACTTTATTAAAGAAACTTTGTTACTATGAATATTATTTCATTTAGCTATACTGATTCCAGCTTTAAAATGGATGCACGTTACAGAAGGTATGCACGTTGTGTGCCAAGTTATCTTTACAACCTCATAGCTTTGTTAAACATTGCCTAATAGCTTTGTTAAACCGTCCTCATAGCTTTGTTAAACATTGCCTAATAAAAAAAAGTAACGTTGAGAATCTTGATTTGTCCGGAGTAATCATGATTAAACATGGAGTTTTTGCTGTATTAAGTTCTACCAAACCAGCTACTAAATATTTTGTATCATTTGGTGATGAGATTACAATGCCAAAATGTACTTGTTTAAATTGGATATCAACTGCATATCCATGCAAACATTTTTTTTTAGTATTTAGAAAGTACCCTGCTTGGTCATGGAGTGCTTTGTCATCATTATATCTAAGTTCACTATTCTTAAACTGATCTTAAACTTAATGCTGATGATTACGAAGCATCACACGAAAAACCACCATTTAGTAGGCCGGAAAGTTCAATTCTACCTAAAAAAGAACTAGATGTCATTAATGATTGGAATGAAAAATCTAAAAAAATTACAAGTGTTTGCTCTGGAGTAAATGTTAGGGAAATGCTTACAACAATTCAAAACCTAACATATGAATTTGAGGAAAATTCAGAAGAAATTGTTCTTGTTTATAGCACTCTTGCTTCTCTCATTAAAAAACTTGAAAAAAATAGAACTAAAGAATCAGGAATTCCGCTTTCTCCATTGGATATCAAGTTGCCTTGTCATTTAAAAAGGAACATTCCAATTCCTGTTCGTAAACCAATGAAGCTTCCTACTGATCGCGTAGGTAATCACAAAGATATGGTTATTGCATCTTCGAAAATATTTCTAGAGGAAAAAAAACACAAAACCGAGCCGATTGAGGTCGAAATTATTGAACATATTGATGGCAATAGTATAATTATTGATGATGAGTCAGTTACTATTAATGAAAATGATGGATTCGAGATAAAAAGACTAAACCATTTATCACCTAACTGTAATCTCTCTTCCAATGATTTGAACGATATTTTAACAAACCAAATGTTATCTGACATTGTAATCCACACCACGCAAAAGATGATCACAGGTGTAGGCGGTCTCCAAGACCCAGTTCTTGGACAAAATCTATCGTTCCGTGTACAAAAAGCATCTTTTGTCCAGGTGTTGCATGATGGCGATGCCCACTGGTTGGCTATAAGTAATTTTGGATGTTCTGTTGGTGAGGTTTTTCTTTTAGACAGTTTTTTTCGTGGAAAAGTAAAAAACCATGTGGTTAGGCAAATTTGTGCTATTATTCATTGCAATGACGATAAATTAACTGTCCGCGTTGTACCGGTGTAGTATGAGATTTTTACTCCCGTGTTTTTTATTACCCAGTAAAAATATCGTATGAAGTTTTTACCGCGGAGTAAAAAAAAGCATATGAGATTTTTACTCTCACTATTTTATTTTTACTCTCAAGTTGTTATTAGCGGAATTGCATATCAATAAAACATGCACTCTAGATTTGCAGACATTTTTAGTTACTTAAAATACCAAATATACCCAAAAGAAGTTTTAAATAAAGGCGATAAAGCCAATTTTAGAAGACAAACTAAGCCATTTATAGTTGATAATAATGAGTTATATCATTTAAATAAAGCTGCAAAGGTATGCTATTATTTCAAAATGTTTTAATAGTTTTGCCATTTTGCAACTAGAATCTAGTCACCAAATAAACACGAATATTTACAAATAATTTATTTAATAAATAATGAAAATTAATTTAGTTTTGATTCTCATTATATTGATGGTTTACAGCTTCTTTTTTTAATAGAGAAAAGTTATTTGGAGTAGAGATGAACAACAAAACATAATAAAGTTTGTTCATGAAGGAAACGATGTCTCTGTTAAGTCTAAAGCTTTATCTGGTCATACAGGTATTAATAACACAACCTATCACATTCAAAGTAGATTTTTCTGGTATGGAATGATAAAAGATATTACAACTTATGTTTCCAAATGTGACCAATGCCAAAAGTCAAAGAACAGAAAACTTCAGTCGAAACCATTGCTGCAAAATATTTCAATTCCTAAAGGCAATATGAAGCAGGTAGGAATCGATTTAACACAGCTACCAGAAGTTAACGATTGCAAATATCTGGTTGTATTAATCGACTACTTCAGTAAATGGGTTGAAGCAGAAGCACTTACCAATAAAACTGCTAAAGCTGTGGCTTTTTTTTTGTATAAACAGATTTGTCGACATGGCTGTTTTGAAATTCAAATAAATGACCAAGGTCGTGAGTTTGTAAATGAAATTTCTAAAGAACTTTACTCAAAAACAGGAACAATTCAAAGAATTACAAGTGCATATCATCCTCAAGCTAATGGATTAGTAGAGAGACAAAATCAAACAATTAAACGTATATTAGTAAAAGTTCTTGATGAGGCTGTTTTGGAATGGCCATACAGTATTGATAGTGTTTTGTTTTCTTTAAGAGTTAGAAAGCACAAATCTACTGGGTTTCCACCGTTTGCATTGCTTTACCAAAGGGAAGCAGTTCTTCCTATTGATATAGATTGCAATTTAATTTAACTTTAATGATAGTAACGCTCTTAGCAATGATGATTTCTCTAACAAAAAAATAGTTTCAGATACCTTTCATGCAATGAATAAAATGAAGAATAAAATTTTTGACGATGCTTATAAAAATATTGAAAAATCTCAAAAAAGACAAAAACATGATTACGACAAGAGAATTGCACCAAATAATGAAATTAGCATAAATAAAAAAGTGTTACTAAGAAATAGCAGACGTGATGATAGAAAAGGTGGTAAACTTGTAAAGCCTTGGACTGGACCATACATTGTAACTTCTATTTCTAGCACAAATAACTGCACTTTGAAAAATCTAAAGGGTCAAATTTTGAAAACAAAGTACAACTTGACAAAGTTATGTTTATATAATGAAAAAATAACTAATGATGAACAAGAAATCACATTTGATGAAATTAATATGCAAATTTCTAATGATAAGATCGGAAAATATGCAACTATTAAAATGAGAACTTCTATTTCTGGAAAATTTGGAATTGGTATTACCAAAAATATTTTTATTGCAGATATTAATCTACTTTTGCGTCCGAAACAAATTCACAAAACCATAGGCGATGGTAATTGCTTTTTTAGGGCAATATCGTATATCATTACAGGCAGTGAATGCAGTTTTGAAATTATAAGAGAAAAAGTTGTTAAACATATGTGTACTCATATTATTAATGAAATGACTTTATATATGAATCAATCAATAATAACGTATCTAAATGAAAGTGGTATGAGTGATAACACAACTTGGGCAACTGATGCAGAAATAATTGGGTGTGCCTCGTTTATGGGTATTGATATAAAAGTATATAGCAAATATGGAGAGAAGTTGAAATGGCTGACTTACCCATGTAGTTTAACACTTACACAACTTAGTGAACATGCTATATTCCTTGACAATTCAACTGCAAGTCACTTTAATGTTGTACTGTTGTAAAATATTATCAAAAAAAAAAATAATTTATAAATTATCTTCTTTTCATAATTTTTAGACATTTTTTAAATATATTTTTATTTAAGTCTGTAAACAAATGTTTTAAAAACGTAAAAATAAGCGAATTTACAACGGTATGTAGGAGAAGGAATAAAAATGTTTGTCTTTTTAAATTTGGTGGCAATACTTTTTCATATGCCTGACTGATTCCACATTAGTAAAGCGAAAGCAAAGAATCCAGAAATAAACCTATATAACAATATGTGTTTAATTAAAAAAAAAATCTTAACCCTATCTGATACATAGGGTAACCTACGATAATTTTTTTTTTTTTGCAGATGTGAATTGTTAAATAAAAAAAGTTTGAAAGAAATGAAAAGCTGCGATTTTCAGATTCTGCAGGTTAGCAAGGTAAACTTGTTGTTTAGAAAACTCCTTTTCTAACAAGTTTGCAACAAGTACCATAGCCTATAGTATAATTATATTATATATAGCCTATAGTTGCAAGTTTGCAACAAGTACCATAGCCTAGTAGTAAAATAAAACAATTTTGGATATTCCCCTTCATTTTTTAATAAAACAAATACACATTTTGATCAAACAAGTACTTGCATATTCTATGATCTTTAAGTTTAAAAAAGATTATCTGTAAAATTTATATTTTCACCGTTTATTTAAAATAATATAAGAAATTTTACTCCCACTAAAATGTAAAAAATAAATTAAGTTAAAAAAGTTTATTAAAAGCATTAATTTTATAAAATATATTAATTAAGCACTATATTAACATAACGGTAAAAATATCTAATGAGAGTAAAAATCTCATAAAGGGAGTAAAAATTTCATACGCATTTTTTACTCCGCGGCACAAATTTCATATCAAATTTTTATAGGGGAGTAAAAAAATAATGGGAGTAAAAATCTCATACTACACCGGTGCAACAACAAACAAATTATGTTGATTGTGGTTTGTACGCATTAGCCTTTATAAAACATATTACCGATACTAGATCAAATCCAAGTTATGTTGCTTTTGACGCTTTTCAAATGAGAAATCATTTGCTAAAATGTGTGAAAGGCAATCAGTTTACTGAGTTTCCAAAGTCCGAAACAGCTATACGATTCTGCAAAGAAAAAGAATTCAATTTTTCCTTGTACTGCATTTGTAGACAAGTCTGGTTAGCTTCGGATAGTTGTATTAAAGATAGGTAAATATAACTCATTGCATTGTATTTTGTTTACGTAATTTCTTTTTGTCTAACTGGGGATTATATTTAGACATATGGTGCAATGCGGAATATGCGAAAATTGGTATTATCGCGCTTGTGAACGTATCCCTGATTATGTTTTGGAAAACAAATTTGCAGATTGGTCATGTTCAAAATGCAGCTCTATGTTATAAAATGTTTTTATTATTTTAGTTATTATTAGTTATGTAACTAGTAGTATTTATAAAAATAGATTATTTAGTAACTATTTATATAAGTAGTGTTTATGAAAAGAGATTATTTAATAACTATTTATGTAACTAGTTTTTATATAGTATTTAT